TTTATTTATTTATTTTTTTTTAATTTTTTTTTTCAACGTTTATTTATTTTTGGGACAGAGAGAGACAGAGCATGAACGGGCGAGGGGCAGAGAGAGAGAGGGAGACACAGAATCGGAAACAGGCTCCAGGCTCTGAGCCATCAGCCCAGAGCCCGACGCGGGGCTCGAACTCACGGAGCGCGAGATCGTGACCTGGCTGAAGTCGGACGCTTAACCGACTGCGCCACCCAGGCACCCCGAATGGGAGAATCTTAAACAGGCTCCACACCCAGTGCGGAGTCCGACTTGGGGTTTGACTTCATGACCCCAAGGTCATGACCTGAGCATAAATCAAGAGTCAGACGCTTAATTGACTGAGCCACCCAGGGACCCACTAGTTTAAAAAAGTTACTCTACCTTTTCTCCAGGACTTATAGTTGTTAGGATATTTTTCATCCATAGTCTCTTTTTTTATGTCTCTTGAGTCACTGTAGAAGATAACCAAAAAAGGAAAATTAGTTGGAGACCAGCACTGAAGATTTAGTTTAGATAACCAGTTCTAGGGGATTAAAATCACTTTAAAAAAAGGTTTATTTATTTATTTTGGGAAAGAGAAAGGGAGAGCGTGCATGAGTGGGGGAGGGGCAGAGGGAGAGAAAGAATCCCAAGCAGGCTCTGAGCTGTCAGCACAGAGCCTGGTGTGGGACTCCATCTCACAAACTGTGAGATCATGACCTGAGCCAACGTCACAAGTCAGATGCTTAACTGACTGAGCCACCCAGGTGCTCCAGAGATTAAAATTACTTTATCACAAATGGTTGATATTATTGTCAGAGTAGGAATTATTGACTTCGTGCAAGCTTCTGTTTATACAGTTCCTTTGTACTTCCCATACCCCTGTACATGTGGTGGGTAATTCCATTGATGGCTTCTCTCTCTCTCTCTTTATTTTTTTAATTTTTTTAATGTCTTATTTATTTTTGAGAGACAGAGACAGAGTACATTCGAGTAGGGGAGGGGCAGAGAGAGAGGGAGACACAGAATCTGAAGCAGGCTCCAGGCTCTGAGCTGTCAGCACAGAGCCTGATACGGGGCCTGAACCCATGAACCATGAGATCATGACCTGAGCTGAAGTGAGACACTTAACCAACTGAGCCACTCAGGTGCCCCTCTAACTCTTGTTTTTTAGTTTACTTATTTTATTTTAAGAGAGAGAGCGAGAGAGAGCAGGGGAGGGACAGAAAGAGAAGGAGAGAGAGAGAATCCTAAGCAGGCTCTGCACTGTCAGCACGGAGCCCAGTGTGGGACTCAAACTCACTACCCAAGAGATCATGACCTGAGCCGAAACCAAGAGTCAGATGCTTAACCTACTGAGCCACCCAAGTGCCCTGGCTTCTCTAACTCTTAGATGTGCCCTTCAAGCTTGTTAGGTTGGGGATCCTTGTTAGGTTGGTTCATGTGTAGTATAATAATTATTTTCCCTTTACAATTTTAGGAATTGTTTTTTTTATTTTTGAAAATCTAAGATAGAATTGACAACCTGTGTAATCAAGTCCTTAATGGATTAAAGTCCTAAGTGGAGCCTTAGGGAGGGAATGGAGGTACTCAGAGCCCATGAGTATAGGTTTTTAAACATTTATAATTGAAGTTTAGGCATCTGCCAGGTCTATGACGTAGTGGCCATCTAGCTTTAAGAATTGAACTTAAAGGTATTTTTCTCTCTGTTCCAATAACTTTAAAAAATTTTTTTAGAGTATGCAAGCGAGGGAGAGAGGCAAAGGGAGAGAGAGAGAAAGAGAGGGAGAATCTTAGGTTCCATGCTCAGCACAGAGCCTAATGCGAGGCTTAATCCCATGACCCTGGGATCATTACTGAGCCAAAATCTACACGCTCAGCTGAGTGAGCTACCAGGCACCCTACTATTCCAATGACTTCTGTAAGATGATTTATCTTACCTTTCACAAACCAGCATTTTTGGAGCAAATGTCTTAAGAACAAATAAAGGAGAATGATATGTGTTATCTAGAAAGGAGGAGAGAGGTTGGAGATGTGATACAAGTACTAAGCATTTTTTTTTAATTTTTAATTTTTTTAAAGTTTATTTATTTTATGAAAGAGATGAATGCATGCTGAAGGAGCAGAGAGAGGGAGAGAGAGAGAGAGAGTCCCAAGCAGGCCCTGCCCCATCAGCATGGAGCCCGATGCAGGGCTCGAACCCATGAACTGTGAGACCATGACCTGAAGAGTCAGACACCCCACCGACTGAGCCACCCAGGTGCCCCAGTACTAAGCATTTTTAGATTGTTGCAGAGAAAGCTAGTTGGCAGCAGAGATTTGAATCTTTCTTCCATAGTTGTTGCTGGAAATTGCCTGTGCCGCCAGGGACAACGTTCCCACCAGTTTTACCTTAGGTGTGGCCATATGATTAGTTTTTGCCAATGGAATGTGAGTGGAAGTATTTTCTTCTGGGTCAAGCTGCTTAAGAGGCACCTGCACCTCCACTGTCTTTTTGTGGCAGTTTGGGAAGCCAAGCGTGGAAGGTGACAGTCACAGATGAAAAGAGCCTGTGGTCTCAATCCACCATCCCCACTGAATGCTTGCATTGGGTTACACAAGGAAACTTCTGTTGTGTTAAACCAGGATACCAACACAACTTGAACTTTATCTGTTAAAGGAACTTGCATTATTCTAATACACACATACATCTTTATTTAATACTTATAAGGTAGGTGTTATACCTTTATAGGTGAGGGAGATGTGGTTGAGAAGTAACTTTCCTTATGGCCACAGCATATAGTTGAACCTAGACTGACTGAAAAACTAGTGAATTCTTTATGGCATGCTACATTTTAGAGAAAGGATATCACTTGAGATGGGATAAATCCAAACCTTTTAGACTACAAGTTTCAATTTATACCAATACTTTTTTCTATGGAAAGTGACCAGATATTGGTAAGGTACGATTCTTTAAGCTGTTATAAATGATTTTTGGTTTTAATTAGATCCCTTTTTGCTGGGTTGCTTCTCCAGATGCAGATGAAATTCCCAGATTTATTTGACTGTGTTGAAGGATTTTGTGGGAGGAGTATTAAGACTTAATTTATCCAGGACTACAGTACTTATCAGCTATGAAGGACTTAGAGTCCAAGCCTTCACTTATGGCTGTGTTCACTGTTTCACCCTTGCTCACCTATGTTCCAGACGTCAGGGTCTAGAATCTGATTGGCAGTATTAGAAAGTTTTTCATTTGGCTCCAAACTCGGAGAAATAACCTTTGGAAGATTAAATGGCTCTGAAATAAAGCAGATCAGAAGTTGTAGAAGCAGAGTAGAAACTTCCTTTTGTTTTTCATTCCTCTTAGTGGGCTAAGACTTCCCTAGTTATGAAATATGGAGGGCAAGGGGCAATAGAGCTTGATGCCACTCATCTATCCTCCCCCCCCCCCCAAAAAAAAGACTTACCATCATCTACAGCAGTTCTATTGACACAGTTAGCCTCATGTTCCTTGAGCCTTTTGACTGGGACCACATGGCAAGCATTATATTTGCAATTAGCCATCTTTTTAGCTATCTTCAGATTTTTCTAAAAGAAAAAGGCTCTTGTGAAATGGCTATTAGGTTTTGCCTGTATTGTACCCTCCATTCCTTTCAGGAAATGCTGAAGACAAACCATTTCCAACATTAAGAACTGCTAAGTGCTATGTATGGTCAGAAGCTTGTTTTTTTTTTTTTAATCTTTTAACTTTTTATATTGAGCTTATATTTCTTCCACCAGTGATTTAACATTTTTTAAAAAGTTTATTTATTTATTTGAGAGAGAGAGAGAGAGAGAGAGAGAGAGAGAGAGAGAGATTGAGAGAGGGAGAGAAGGAGAGAGAGAATCCCAAGCAGGTTCCACACCATCAGCACAGAGCCTGATGCAGGACTGGAACTCACAAACTGAGATCATGACCCGAGCTGAAACCAAGAGTGGGATGCTTAACTGACTGAGCCACCCAGGTATCCCAACATTTTGTATTAACCAGGAAAACGTACCTTTCTACATGATGCCAGGTGGTACTGTAACCTGCTGGCTGGCATCCTGTGGTTTGGGTCATAAGGACATATTTCTAGGACTTCTGGCTCCATGAGGCCTAAATAGTAGGAACCTTGGGTTGACAAAGAAAATATTGACATTTAAGATCAAGTAGTTTTGACATAGGCCTACTTTCTGTTCTCAAAAAAAAGAGGCAAAGATATGGGTATCTCCCTATGAAAGTTTTGCATGTCTAAAGCAATAGCCTAGTCAGCTAATAGGAGAACTGCACGGCTTACATGCCTTGGAAAACTAAAAATTAACATTTATACATATATTTTAGTCTTATGGGTTCTTTTGAATAGAATTCTGTGCCCCCAAATAGAGTATTAAACAGACAAGGCTCTTTGGAAAGCTCACAGTACTGGGGTAAGATGAAATTCAGCACCATCAGCTTGAGTGTTCAGGAAAGCAAGGCCGGGGCAGCTGGTTCCTTTACAGTTCAGCATTGCTCCCTTCCTTCTCTTTGCCAAATCTATCTAAATTAAGCCCTTTGCTAGACAAAGATGCTACTTGTCAGATCAGCATAGCCCTTTTGGGGAGAGGGCAATAGAAGAATGAACTGTACCATGTTCAAGTTCAGGCTACTTTATAATTATCTGCGAATGCCAGTCTGAAATCTTTAAAGTTGTACGTATCAGCATATGAAGACTCCTAGAAAGAACTAAGAATATACCATCTCAAATCTGCCACATTTGACTGCCAATAGGAGGCCTACTTTCCCTTATGGCTAGCTGTCTTTAGCTATCCTAGGAGACATTCACTTCAAGGACTCCCAAGTTTCCAGGCAACAGCTACAGCTGAGATTTCTGCAAAGCAGGGACAGCATAGTCTGATTGAGATGGGGGGGGGGGGGGAGGATCAAGGCAGAGTGGCATAAGAAGGAAGGATAGAAAAGTGCCTAGAATAGCCCATTTCAATTCTGCTTTGGATCATGCCTAGGGCATAGACAAAGGGCACAGAGCTAGACTGTTAAATGTCAGATTTTCCTGAGAGCATTTAGATGATTAAGTCCAGGGATTTACACTCAGGTGCCTTTCAGGAACGCAAGCCAGGGTGGCTCTTTCAAGCTTACACTGCATGTTAATGATAATATTAGAGCCACGAACACTTACTATAAAGTGAATTGGCTTTCTGGAAAATAACACCTGCAGTATAATCCAGTATCATACAGTTATCTTTAGATTCTTAAAGATAATAGAAGAAGAGCTTTAATACTAAAATGTAGTCTTCAGATAACCCCAAACCCTTATTTTATCCAGCAGCCTAGAAAAGTATAAAGTTTGATCAGACTGATAAGGCTGGCCTTAACAAAGAGTACTTCAAAAGTGGCAGCAAGAATTGGTAAGCTTGGACCATTCGTCTAATTATCGATAGCTGAATATCCCATGTTGGGAGGCCAAGACTATAATGGAGGCCATTTGATTTAATATGTATTAGACTTGGCGAGAGAGTTGTAGCCTCGAAGCTACTTTGACAAACTGAATCTAGAGGCCTTTGAGACCTCTTACGTTATTCTTGAAGCAGTGTCTCTCAAGAATCTGAAGGGAAGTGTGTCTGAATCTGAAGAGGGAAACAATCCTACAAGTCAGAACAAGGCAAATTTCGCAAAAGTTTGGGGTGAGGGAGAGCAAAGTACCTTTGTCAAGTGATGTAAATCAACTTTCTGTTCAAGCTACTCAATTCCTCTTCTCCCACCATATGGTCTACGGTTTCTCAAGAGGTTTGGAAGTTTTTGATGTCATAGTTAAGTCTTGAATGACTGTTTTTCAATCTTGGTTGTGCATGAAAATCACTGAGTAGTTTTAAAGTGACAGATCTTCCAGAACTAGCAGATCAGAATCTTCACACATGAGGTCTGACTAACTGTGGCTTTAAAAGAGTTCCACAGGGGATTCTGACTTGTAGCCGGGGTTACTAGGCCCTGCCCGGGGGTAATTGAACCACCCTCAGAAGGGTTCTTTCAGTTTCCAGGAGGAACTGCTCCATGGTCTTTCCAATGAAGTTTCTCTAAAGTCTACCAGTTGGAACAATTAGTCCCATCTTTAAATCTGGCCTTTTTCTTTATGTGATGCCAAGTAGAATTTCACAGAAAGTGACATAAGCTCATCACATACTAAAAACACCCAAATTTTACTTTCTTTTTGGCATTCTTAATCCAGCGTACCAGGCCTTGAGCTGAATGTTTACAAACACCACTTCTACAGGTATATGAGGAATGTAACCACTTCTACAGGTATATGAGGAATCACCACGGTTTTATAGATTAGGAAACCAACTCCGTGAGTGAGTGAGATCCTGAAGTTACAAAGCTAGCACATGTTTGAATAACATTAGAATTATTTGAGGTAATACGTACAAAGCACTTAAAGTACCGGGTCCCTAGTATATAACTAGGTCATCACTTCGCGTGTAGGACCTTAATACAGTTCCTTTTGGTAGGAACTGTTATCAATATCTCCATTTTGCAGGCAGGGAAACTGGATCAGAGCTGCTAAATGATAGAGTTGGGATATGGACTCAAGCTTTATGGCTCCATAACCTGGGCTCCTTGCCTCTAAATCATAAGGCTTTGTCCATTGGACTCAACTACATTCAAGCCCAAAATCTGTCCTATGCCAAAATGTAGGGTTTTCACATATACTAAATACAAGCAAATAAGTGTTTTCCAGTCTCCAGCAATCTTACAGTTCAGCTGGGGTGGCAGTAGAATATGAAACAGGCAGTCAAAGATGGGACCTAATTTAGGTGTAAAATATGTGGTAGTGACCAAATACCGCAGGAGTTCAGCAAGGGCCAGACTTAGGACTCTTTGAGCCAGATTCAGAAGATCGAGTAGGATTTGGGTCAGCAAGAGGGAAAGCACACATCATGAGAAAGGCAGAAATGAATGTGGCACATTCACAGTAGACTACTAGGCTGGTCCCTGCTGGGTTGGGGAGTATGCATTTGGGAACAGGAGAAAAGATTGGCTTGGTATGGAGAGTCTTCAACAAAATTTTCAGGAGGATAACAAATGCAAGTGAAAAAGATCCAATGAAACTATACTAACCTGTTAAAAAGGCTGCGGCTATATGGCAGCTGTGCTTCCTACCTGTTGGTGCCTCAGCAACTGCTCTTAATCTCCCCCATCAAGGTGAAAGACCAGTAGAAATCCCACCAATGTCTTTAGTAGAACCTGGGTTTCTTTGAGAATAGTGGGTAATTCAAATCTTCAGGGCCAATAACACCTCATTCCAGGCCCCTAGCTTTCTAGGGATTCTATCTAGTAAATAAACTGGAAGGCAGATTCTGTTTTCCAGGAGTATAAAGTTTCCCTTAGGGATGTTTGAAATTTTGTGTGTTAAGCACTGTCATCTTGTTTCTTTAAAAGAGACATTATCTTGAGAACAAACATATTAAGGTCTGTGTATAACAATGCCAATCAGCTCTCCTATCCCTCCATCCCAGGATTTATTGGAATAATGTAAGAGCCCTGGATATGGCAAATGAGAATGATTGAAAAGTGGAAGGGGGTGCCTGGGTGGCTCTGTCGGTTAAGGGTCCGACTTTAGCTCAGGTCATGATCTTGCGGTTCATGAGTTCGAGCCCCGCATCAGGCTCTGTGCTGATGACCACTTGGGAGCCTGGAGCCTGCTTCAGATTCTGTGTTTCCCTCTCTCTCTGTCCCACCCCCACTCGCGCTCTGTCTCTCTCCCTCTCTCTCAAATAAATAAACGTTAAAAAAATTTTTTAAAAAGAAAAGTGGAGAAAAGGTATTGGAAAGGAAGTAGAGGGGCGCCTGGGTGGCGCAGTCGGTTAAGCGTCCGACTTCAGCCAGGTCACGATCTCGCGCTCCGTGAGTTCGAGCCCCGCGTCGGGCTCTGGGCTGATGGCTCAGAGCCTGGAGCCTGTTTCCAATTCTGTGTCTCCCTCTCTCTGCCCCTCCCCCGTTCATGCTCTGTCTCTCTCTGTCCCAAAAATAAATAAATGTTGGAAAGGAAGTAGATATGAAGACAACTCTGTTTAACGTAGAATTTTTCTGAGGACTTTCTGCTTTTCTCCTTGAAAGAAACATGAAAGTGAGTTGGTTTTCTTGAATTAGGGAGCTAAGGCCTGGTTAGAATGGCAAGAATTTTTTAGTGCTAAAATTTATTCAGCCTTCTAACATTTAAAGTCTATTAATTACTTTTCCCTTGTTAATCTCAGTTAATATGGTTCTTCATGTGGCCTATTTCCCAATTTAGTCTTAATAATTCAACAAACGAGTCAGCATCTTTACTAAGTGGTTGAGTCCAAGAGGTGGTGTTCTAGATCAGTGTTTCTCAACATGTATTTGATGGAATATTTGCACCAAATCCTCCCATGGTGCTTAGAAATGCAGATTTCTAGGCCTCACTGCAGAGTTACCAATCCTGAATCTCAGAGGATAGGGATTGATCTCGGTTTCTGAAGCACCTTTAAGAGCTATTGTACTAGATGTGGGCCTGGGTGGCTTAGTAGGTTAAGCATCCAATTCTTCATTTCAGCTCAGGTCATGATCTCACAGTTTGTGAGTTCAAGCCCCACATCGGGCTCTGCTCTGACAATGTGGAGCCTGCTTTGGATTCTCTCTCACACTGTCTCTCTGTGCCTTCCCCACTTGTGTGACTGTTCTCTCTCTCAAAATAAATAAATAAACTTAAAAAAAATAAATGAACTCTTGTTCAAAAGCAGTGGTTCTCAAACTTGAGAGTACATTGGAATTACTTGGAAGGTTTATTGAAACACAGAGTGCTGGACCCTACCCCAGAGTTTTGGATTCAGTAGGTCTGGAGTGGGTCCTGGGAATATGCATTCTAACAAGTTTCTAGATGATGCTGATATGACTACATTTTAAGAATCACTGTATTAAAGTATTGTGAAAGATATGAAGAAGTATTAGATACAATTCCTGTCATTAAGGGGCTTATGATGTGGTTGGGGGAGATAAGTCATATACTTAAAAATATGGTGAAGAATATGGTGTTCTGTATAGTATTTGACACTGGAAGGGATAATGTGGAGGATTTGGGATTTAATCTGGGCCCTAAAAGATGGATAGGCCTAAGGTTCAGCTGAGAATAACATAGGTGTTCCTTTTTTTTAAAAATTTTTTTTAAACATTTATTTTTTTTTGAGAGACAGAGACAGAGTATGAGCAGGGGAGAGGCAGAGAGAGAGGGAGACACAGAATCTGAAGCAGGCTCCAGGCTCCAAGCTATCAGCACAGAGCCTGATGTGGGGCTCGAAATCACAAACCATGAGATCATGACCTGTGCCGAAGTTGGACACTTAACCGACTGAGCCACCCAGGCGCCCCTAACATAGGTGTTCTTGATGGGGATATATAAAAGAGAAAAGGCATAAAGGTGGATGGGAGTGGGGTAGTCGATACTTGTTTGTCTGGTACAGAGCTTTTTATAGGACTCTAGTGAAGGGGTAAGGCCAAAAAGGTTGGTGCTAGACTGTGAGGAGCCTTGAAAGCCTGTCCCTCTCCCCTGCCTCCACCAACTTCACAGTCTTACCAAAAATGCTACACAGCTAGAAAGAGGAAGTGTCTCCTGCTGAGTGTGCAAGAGGAAGCACAAGAAGATTCTGAAGGCCTGTGAGCTGTAATGACTGCTTTCCCCCATGAGCCAATTGTAGAGGCTACAGGAAGACCAGCGCACCAACCAGGCTGGGTCCCTCCGCCCAGGGGGTGTCACCACCCAAGCTGAAAGTGTTTGGGGAGATTCGGCATTGCTGTCCGGATACTCCTCTCTTTTGGTGGCCATCATGTCTTTGACCTCTGCCTACCAGCATAAATTAGCCGAGAAGCTCACTATTCTGAATGATCGAGGTCAGGGGGTTCTCATCCGCATGTATAACATCAAGAAGGTAAGCATGAACAACTGGGCCAGTACTAATTAATCCAGCAACAGTAGGGCAGGGGACCCCGTGGCTGGCAGTTCCAGGGGCTAGACTCCTCTTCTTTCCCACTGGCCTTCAGTCACTCGGATTACATAGGCCAGCCAGTGTAGGAAGGCAGAATGGGAGGCTCTTTTTAAGGGCTTTCCCCTTCTCGATATGATTCTCGCCCCAATGAGAGTGTCTGCTTTCTGCTGGGCATATGGAGGTAGGAAATAATTTGTTCTGAGTCACTTGAATAAGGTCTGGGATCTAGAATTCTGGGTCTCATTGTTTATTGTTGATCTCCCATACTCTGAAGACATCCAAAGTTGGGTCTCTGGCAAAAACTTTTCCATGGAAGTACTTACCTAAAAGGAAAAAAATAGATATTTCAATAAAATATGGGTAGGTGCCTTCTGAGATACTTAGAGTCTGAGAGTTCATGCTCTGGTTGTGTGTGTATGCTTAGGATAGGATCTGTTGAGTTGAGAGAGGCTGGTGACAAGAGT